TGGGCGTGAGAATTGAGCTGGATGAACAGCTGGGGACCGGCGTGCTATTTAATCCCATGTCCTCAGTGATCTCTCCACTGAACCTTTCCTTCAATCCGTGTCCTGCCCATCTTTACCTTCTTGAAATCACAAGTCCCAACTACCTACCCGCCCTGAAGCATGTCAAACTCCTGGAACAACCGCCACACATTAAGCGATGAAGAATATGATCGCATGATAAGAGTCATGCTACAGGGGGATGCTAGTGCTGACATCGATGCTGACTTACTCTACTGGCTAACACTCCCTCCGGACGAGACCACTACAGAGGCAAGGAGCCACATGCAGACGCAATCCCCACACCAATCTACCCCTGATCAAAGCTCACCCTCTGCGACAAGTACTCCCGGCCGAGCCCCAAGGTACATACGGACCAACCTATATATTGGCCATCTTCACCCTGCTAACAGGGTCTCAGACAATCCTCCTTTCCATGTCTTTGGGAAGGTTGCACCAGTTCCTTTGGAAGGAATGCGGATCTTCGCCGCCACATGTTGACCATCCATCTTTGCCCTGGGTCGTTCCGTTGCACGCTTTGTTCGGCCGTCTTCAACAGAAAAGATAATGTGCAGGACCATATGCGACGGGCTCATGGGATGTCTTAGAGATCTCTTATGGCATGTTGGATATGAGAGATGGAGGGGTTCCTTTCCCAAGGTTACATTCAGACCTTTAAACGGAAGAGTCACCTCCGTGAACAATATCAGGTCGATTCTTTTATTCCGCGGAATGTTCGATATACTATTCCTTTGGCAAGGGGCTTTGCACGGAACACTAATCCCCATCGGTATCTGACGTCGATAACGCGGGATAACTCAATGCGCGATGTACTGGGGGCCTTCCAATGAAAAGATAATCTTGGGGAACTTATCCGGTTGGTTCATGGAGCAGCTATTTAAAGGGCCATAAAAGAGCCATTCATTCATGCCCGATCCTTGGCTGTACAAGCACGTTTACCCGAAATGCCGATTTAACCCGGCATATGGTATACGGCCACTTGTTGCAAGGAGCCTTTGCATGCCCTGATTGCCCGCGGGTCTTTAACCGTCAGGATAATTTGAAGAGCCATGTTAGGAACAGGCATGGGGATCAGCAGGGAGATGTGGACAGCTCAAATACGTGATATATGGGAGTTTGGGTTCATGTTTTCTTCGGTGGTTGTTGCCAGGGTCCTACGCATGCCCTCATTGCTCGCAGGTCTTTAACCGTCGGGACAATTTGAGGAGCCATGCTAGCAATAAGCATCGGGATCGGCAGGTAAATATTATTGACATTTTCTGTCGGAGTTCCTGTTGGCTGTTAGGCAGTCACGTGATCATATATCAGGCCCTCTATGGTGATTGGCTAGCCATTATCCATGACTATTTTCTCCATCTCCCTCCTCCTGGGCTGTCCTTTCGACATTTTACATGCGTGATACATGGGGTTATCAGTTCATGTTCTCTTTGCTTCTTGTTCTCTGGGTCTCGTTTCGTTATTTGCGAAGCGCGAAAGCGGTGAGCAAGTTCTAACATAGGTCTCCGGCTTTATGGCTTCTTATTAATCCATTGATTCAGCTAAATTCTGCTTTCTTATTAGCTCTTTAAGCCAATTATCACATAACTTACTATATATTCCAAGGACTTACCGCTTCAGCCTCTTTAGAGAGGGGGAGTCTGGAATGAGTACCTTTCCCAGTATATATTCAGATTATATTTCTGTATATATTCAGGCTAAGGCTCTAAAATGAGTACTAGTTTTTATATCACTTTACTAAACTCTTTAGAAGTATTTGATTAAGACTTTTTGAAGCACTTGTGAAACAACCACTATGTTGTGGATGGACAGGCTGTACATACATACACAGGATATTTCACCCGAGCGACCGATCTCGAGCGACACATCAAATCCCTGCACGTGGCTCCTGGCTTTTCCCTGCTTGTACTGCGATCGGTGCTTTAACCAAGCGTACAACCAGAGAAGCCACATGCGATCCCAACACTGCGGTTTGTCCTAGGTTCAATACCTGCACCGTACTGGGTGTTGCTTGACTCTGCAGGGGGGTTAGCAATTATTGCGGTTGGTGTCAGGAACGTTCATTATCATTCGACTGTGTTTCTTCGGTGAAATATGTTTATTTTTCTCTGCATCTAGTATTGTATTTACACCCAGCATATATAAATTTTATAATTTCACATGGTATAATGATCTCACCACCTTGCTATTCTCACCAAGTGTTATACTGTTCAGCCCTACATCTCGATAGATTAAGGTTGCGATGACCCATCGATGATCCGGTAACGCTAAGATTCGTTCCATGGGATCACCTCCGATCGTGCACACGATGAACAAATGGCCTGGACAATGCGACCGGTGGATAAAGCACCCAGTCATTGTGGATCTCCCCTCTGGGATTAGCCGAGGTACACCCGTCCCATCATTTTCCCCTTCAGGCTAGCGTGATACCTTATGTCAGGTACCACCTGTTTTCCCTCTTTGTCATTCACCTGACAGGACATTTCCCCTCCTGCACATACATCCCCCTCTCAAACCCATCCCCGTGACATCACCGTCTTTCTTATTAGGACCATGTCTAGTAGAAGATAATCTCACCCTAACAGTCACAGACATTCAATGCCCTACCGCAAATCACAAAGCTCAATATCTCCGACCGTCTGGCATCCAGCCCATGTTAGCCGTGATACCCCAACCGGGATCTGATGAGAAATAGTTTACAAGTGATACATTTCCAGCCGCCGCACAACTCTCCTCTTGGCAATGAGGGTCAACACTAGAAAGAATCCCACTAGAAAACAGATAGAAGGACCCACACAGATAAAGCGCACAGCAACCATTCAGGGGAGGGGGGCTTCTATTTCTCCCAACAATGACGGCACACCAGCCACGCCCTAGCCTGGAATCGGGTTAGGCAGCAACGTGCCCAGTGAGGCTGGTATCCTCCTGTGGCGCAACCACTTATCTGTTGATCAGCAAAGAAATTACTGCCTGCGATGAGGAATGTGCGCCTTGCTAGATGGGCAATGATTGCCAGTTTGAGCAGTGGATTTGTTCGATCGCGTTTCTGGGTGTTCGAGTTGTGCTGACGCTGGTGGGCGTACCTTTCTGTGTGCCATGGTCATAACGCCCAGAAGCAGGAACTGTGTATACTGTACTGTGTATAACAAACTCTACATCCGCTGGGTATGTGCTTCAGTTAGCGGAGGGAAGGGCCTTGCCATACTGTCACTGTAATCTGTATGATTAGGCTTTTCACAGTGAGCATCAGCCACAGACAAGCTGGGTGACTCAGTGGCTCATGATAAGCAAAGTTAAAATGGGTGGGAAAATGACCGGATATTTCCCCATCTGAGGTTGCAGGAGCAAGGGATAGGCCACAGAGCGGGGAGAGAAACCTAAGAAAAAAGAAAGCAAGAAAGAGAGCAACCTGGCAGGACTTTTTGAGTAGTGAATTAACCATGTCTGGGTGCACACCGCCACATCCCTCGACTTCAACCACCAGAGCATGCTTGGCTTGGCTGCCCCCATTGCGTCATCCCCATCTGGTAATCATTCAATCAAAGACCTGCGGCCGACGAGCACCTCTTAAAGCACACCGCTCAACAGCTCATACAGGACCCCGTCAAGTTCTTCTAAGTGGCCTTGTCAACCGCCTTTTGAGGAGGCCTTGGTATGCATCCAAGAATGCCTTATTTAATGGAGAGATATGGCTTGAATAATGACCTTAAGCATTTGGTCTAGAATCGTAGGCCCGAATCTCCCCTTGTGTCAAGCCAGTGATGACTTGGATCTGGGACATATGGCCAGAACAACTGAATGTCTTTTTTCTTTTATTCCTAAACACTCAAAAGACTGACTCTGAGCCCCAGCGCACTTCGTAAATAATAAACCTACTAGTATGTAGGCTAAATGACAGAGATCTAAGTTAGTTGTTGGTTAGAAGGTAGAAGATGTTTAGACACAGTCATCATGAACAGGATACAGATCCTGTGCGATGTGTCGAAAAAACAGCCAAGAAAGATGATCAGTTCGGCGGATTTAATAATCTGACATCGGGGTCTGTGTGAGTGATTCTGAAGCCATTCAGAAGCCATTGACCCGCCATGGCAACGATTCGTGCCGCCCCGATCGTCGAGTTCCGGGATATTTATCCCAATTGGCTGATCACTATTCCTGTCAAGGTAAGACATCCCCACCTCCCCCTGGGTAATTCTGTAGTCCCAACCCAATTGCCAAATTAACAGAACCTATATTTTATTCCGCTCACCCCAGCCAACCCGGTGGTCGCTCTGGTATAGGAGAACCATGAAATCATAAGCTAAGCTCCAGTTACGTTCAAAATGTTTTCAGGATGCTTTCTTTCAGAATGATGTACTTAGCCAGGTCAGTGCTCTTTATATCCGGTCGCATCAAGTTAAAATAGGAACTTGCGACGCTCGAAGTGAGCGAGTTCCCTGCGAGGGAAATTTGAAAAAGAAAATGGTAAATATAGTATTCGTGGATGTCGGCAAAGGTCACGGTGAGTCGGATTGGCAGGGGATCAAACTCGGCAACCAAGGCACGGACCGCGCGTTGTTCATCGGATGCCACAGGAGATGATGAATGAAAGAACATTCATTGATGGGGGTCCAGTTTTTTTTTTTTTTTTCCTTTTTATGTTTTCTTTTGTTTCTGCCCCACCAAGTCGTGCCCTCATGCTTTCTAGCCATACTTCCTTACCCTTGGCGCCACGCACCATCCTCTCCACACCAACCTAACCTCAAAGTTGTGCGTGTCAATAAGGGTTCACCATTTCACTTTTATCACCAATGCCTGACGTTCGTTCAACCGCCTTTGCATCAGCCTGTCGCCCTGCAGATGGCCAGGCTTGAATCATTCGGGGCCCTGCCCATGGAAATGGGATCGTAGAGATATAAAAGCTAAGCTCCCCCCGACCATAAAGTTGGAGAAGAGCACCCCTCGGAGGTCTGTACAAGTTACTTGACCTTGGAAATCACCTTTTCATTTTGTTCTCATTATACTGAACAATGCCCCGAGCTTCTGGAAATCGATTTGTCCGGCCGAACAATGAAAACGCCCCCGTCTCTCCTCCACACGATTATCCAGCCAGCAGCATGTTCTCACCGGCCCTAAATACTAGTACTACTATGAGTGGTGCACAACCCTCCCCAAACCCTTGGGCAACCTTTGGTGGTATGGATAGTTTCAATGAAGCAGCCATGGGCCAGACCGGCCCTGGCGCGTTTTCGAGACCAGTCCTCGGATCAGTTACCATGGGTGCGGCTACCAATCACACTGCCAATCCGCAAATGCAAGTCCCATTTGAGGGCTTTGGATCTCAATTCTACCTTTCTCCTATCAACTACGATCCACGCATCACATTCACTGAAGCTCCTATAACACGGTATGCCGATGTGATTTCAGAACCACTTGTAAAGCCTTGGCACTAACACAATAAAAAACTACTAGAGCAGCGTGTTACCCGTGTCGGTGGTTGGCCTGCACAAAGGTTTTCCAGAGAAATAGTGATCTCATACGACATGTCAACTCTCTTCATTTATCTCCAGGATCCTACATTTGCCCTCAGTGCGGGCACATCTGCAACCGTAAGGATAATTTGAAAAGTCATCTGCAAAACATGCATGGAATGCAGCTGCAAGAGAGCCATGCGGCGATGTCGCAAATATGATCTATCATATGCGTCTCCGATTCTTTGTTTACTTATGGCGCACGTTCTCCTTTACCCGCTTGGGGATCTGCGCCTAGTGATTTCGGCTTTACCTTGTTATTAGTATGTTTGCTCTTCTACTGCACTTCAACCTTACTAATTTATTGTTACATATTGTGTTTTTAGATATAATAGACGGTTTTTAGAGCTTTCCCAAGGAACCATGCAAGGAGATCAATCGTAAAAGGTTATTTTCCTTTGCCATGCCATCTAATTACATGTTTAGAGCAAAGTAAAGATTATTCAGCGATAGACAATGATTTGCGACCGTTGAATCTGTCCCAGCGGGCATAGGCATCCATGGAAGCCTACACCAACTTCCGACCGGTCGGGGTGGTGGCCAGTATTTCCAGGCTGACATCCATAGGTACATCATCCAATCAGTGGAGTCGCCGGCAGTCGGGCCGATCCGATTCCACAATTCCCTCATCAGTTTAGCGAACCATAACACGGAGGATAAATGACCCACAACCATACGGAAAATATTTCAGCTTCTAGACCATTCTATCGAATGACGGTCCCGAGTGGAGAGATAAAGTCCGGGCGATCTATCAATACCTCGGGGTTCTCCCTGATGATACCCAGCAAATCCCCGCTGTTGAAACACTGCTCCCCGGAAATCCCCTCATCAGGTGTGGAAGATTCCCGTACCTCACGGGGATTGCCTAGGATCCGGGGGATTGTGCCTTTTCTATGAAGGAGACCTCCGGCATTGTAGGACCCACTCACATCTATATTAAGGGGCTTGGGGTGCCTCTTCCTCCTTGTTCTTCTTCATCATCATCATTCACTTTGTTTAATTCAATCTATTCACCCTGAGTCGGCTATAGTCTTTACACATCCAAAGCCAAATTTTACTGTATCTTAACCCTCTTAAAAGAAACCTTAAACCCTTTCTTCAGCATCATATCTTTTAACCCTCAATAATTATAACCATGGGCACAACATACCCGCCAAGTATATGGCACTCTTTGAGACCGGGGCATATGAGGGTGTGTCAAACCCTAGGATCGCTTCCCTTGTTCCTGTTAGCTTAGCTTCACTAGTATACGTACCGTCGAACTTGGTCGAGGTAGTGTCAGACTGATGACTATCTAAGGGCAACTGGTCTTGAATTAAGGAAGAGAAGTAAGGCCGAATAGTGCCGCGCAGCTATCCGTAAGTGAGTGCGGACGAGTGTTGTCGCTAAGCTATCCAAACGTATGGTTACTTAAAGACAGTGTTATTGAGCACGAAGAACAGAACTAGCTAAGTACATGAAAGAGTGTCCTTAAATATCCTATCCTCCGTATACCATATCGTATACCATTCAGGGTCGACCAATGGTCGATCCAATCGTGATCCAGGATCTCAGTATACCCTGCGTATATCCTCAATGGTAGATTCGATGGTAGACGATCGCGTGACGCAAGGTCGCTCCGGGTGTTACTCAAACCGGGATTCTACTCGATAAGAGTTGCTGGTTGTCCGAGACCTGCCTTGCCGACACTTTCTGCCTGACGAGTCCGCTTCACTAGTAACCTGACGAGCAGGGGTCTGTAACAACTGGCCCGTTCGCCGGTGACTCCATTGGGTGGATGATGCCATCGAATGAATGTCAGCCCTAAAATACTGACCACCACCCCGACCGGTCGCAATGTGTAGGCTTCCATGGATGCCTATGCCCGTTGGATTTCAAACCCAACGGTCGCCACTGATCTCTACCGTTCAGAAGTCCTTTTCTTTATAAGCTTTAATGCTTAATTTGATCGCATGGCAAGAGAAAATAACCTTGAGAGAAGTTCTAAAACTTACAAATATATTTAAACCCACAATTTGTAACAATACATCATTGAAATAGAAACGCAATGGAAACATAAAGATAAAATCATCCTGGATATCATAACAAGGTAAAGCCCGAAACCAGTAACAAAAGAAGATCAGAAAAAAACGCATAAGATAGATCATATGTGCATGTGGCTCTCTTACAGCTGCAGTCCATGGACGTTTTGCAGATGATTTTTCATATTGTCCTTGCGGTTACAGATGCGCCCGCAATAAGGGCAAATATAAGAACCTCGAGCCAAGTGAAGAGTGTTGACATGTCGCTTGAGATCGCCGTGTCTCTGGAAAGTCTCTGTGCAGGTCAACCACCGGCAAAGGTAGAGTGCTGGTCTAGGATTTTGTTTTGTTAGTGTTTAGGCTCTGCAGGTGGTTTTGAAATTGCATCCGCGTACCGTGTTGTAGGGGCTGCGTTGAAAGTGTGGTGTGGAGTGTAGTTGATGGAAGGAGAGTGAACTTGAGATACAAGGCCCCCCTCAAATGGGACTTGCATCTGCGGAACGGCGACGGGATTGGTAATAGCGGCACCACCCATGGTGACTGATCCGTGGGTAGATCCCACAAATGCGCCAGGGCCGTTCAGTCCCATGGCTGCTTCATTGGCACCATTCATCCGGATGGAGGGTGTCCAAGGGTTGGGGACTAACTGTGCACCGCTCATAGTAGTAGTCGCAGGGAACATGCCGTTGGCCAGATGATGGTCGGGAGGAGAGGAGGGATCATTCTGATTGTCCGGCCGCGCAAAGCTATTATTACCAGAAGCTCGGGGCATTGTTCAATGATAATCCTGATGGGAACGAGATGAAAGGTTCGTTTCTGAAGAAGTATTCTGGTAGCTAGACATCTACAGTCATGAACAGAGTGCTTGTCTCTAACTCACGGTCGGGGCGAGCTCAGCCTTTATATCTCCTCTGCCCATTTCACTACGTAGGAATGGTCTTTTGCACGAGCGGCCAACGTCAAGGCGGTTTTGCGTAAGTAATCGCCGGCTGCAGGAACGATCGGAAACTGAGTGACCACAACCTAAATACTAGTCCTACTACGCACTAGTGTGGGCGAAACCTTTCGTGCGCCCGGCCAATCAAGAGACTGGCAATTCCCGCTGCAAAGGTTCCGGAACGATCCTCCCCCTCATCGTCGTTTCGCCACCGGCCTAGTGGAGCAGCCAATTTCGCACGGGTTACTGATGTTATCTCAGACCACGACTCTAGCTACTTTTAACTACTTTGTGTGGGGCCTATCAACACATGTAGAAAAAAAGGGACCAATTACCAGGTCCACAAAACCTGCTAGCAGACAATAATGGCGTGGTCCTGGAGGGGGGTCCCTGGAAGCTCCAAGCCAGGCGTCTGCGCTCGGTCCCGAACCCATTGAGCGGGCTTTAAAGCGCCCTGAAGAAGCCATCGTCGTTCATCCACATTCAATCATCATCCGGATACCACCGAGACGAATGACCTGTTACACACCGATTCATTGTTCCAGAGCTTCGGCTTCAGTATCGCCGCTGCCGAGATATCCCAGCGCGGAGGTCCCGGGATACAATGTCAAGGCCTACCCGGCACAAGCCAACCCAACAAACATACCGGCAATTCCCAACACCTACATCAGGGATCCAGTTCACATTGCCTTTAATATTCCTAATCAGCCTCCCACTGATGAGGACCCCCAACTGCTTTCCACCGCAGTTCAGCCTGAGATAAGGGGAGCACCACCTCAACCCATGTATGTTATACAACCGTACCTATCTCCAATATCATTCTCGGTCAACGCTAACTCGTGAAGCAACTGAATCATGTAATTGCACTAAGCCTCTTTGGGCGGCCAAAAGGGTGTCCTCTAAGATTATGGGGGGTCACTACAAAGGCTTCCAAAATCTAAGGCTTCTAAAACTCCATGAATTTAACATTCCTTAGTACATAGTCACTAAGATATCTAGAAAGCTTGTTAAACGAATTTCTACATAATGAGGATTTAATGTATTTTTTTTTTTTTGTATATGAAAGCTCCATGTATAATTAGAAGCTATGTTGAGTCGCGTAGAGCACGGTCCCGGAGGACTAATTGCATAGGTGGGTCTGACAGTCTCGCGAGGTGTTGGGGAGAAAGCAAAGCAAGTCAATCTGGATCGACCAATCGAGAGTCCAGGACGCTATCAGTGGCACAGTGCAGATCTATCCTGACTGTTATTCGTCAGGCCATGCGTCCATAACCCGCCCATGGCTTGCAGCTGGGCCTGGCATATTAGGTACGTACTACTGGTAGTTACGGCATACGTCTCGCGTAATGATAGTTTGGAGCAATAAGACTCCATCGATACTTCCGATCTTGTTTGCATATGTAGTTACCAATACCACTACTTACCTAAACAACCTAAATGATTTCCCGCCCCAGGACTTCAAGCGACAGGATTTGATCTCATGGTACCTACCTATGCGCATCTCCGAGCCAGAATGGGAATTTTTTCTCCTCCCGACTGGCTTGTCTGCAGGCAAAGAACGCCCTCCACCCACAGACCGCTCCTTTCCTAACCGATATGTGGTAGACTGGTTTGGGACATTTTCTCACCCAGCGTATTATTCTCATTGGCGGTACAACGCGGGCTCGCCAGCCCAGCCAGGCACCTACGGCCGATCCCAATCTCCTTCCTGCCCGAAGACCCACGTAGGTATACTACATACTACGTAGGACGACAGTTACCCCCCTCTAATCTGGTTTCGAGAATTCTCACCGCTGGTTTGCAGCGAATTATATATGGGGCTTTTTCGCCTGCATTTGTTGAGCCTGGAGCCCGGGGGCGAGACTCTCGACGTGCACACCTGGTGAGGCACCGACCAACATGGTGAGCCCTCCCCACCCGCACCTACGCCTGACGGAGCTGAAGAGAAACGGGAGATAAGACCGACTCGGAGGACTTAGCTCCGGGGATGAAGACATGTTTTCGACAGGAATCAATGACCCATGGCGATTGTGACTAACACACTTTTGGAAAGCAGATTATGACTCGCGATGGTCGCGACCATTTACTCACTCCACCAACAACGCCAACTTCTTCCACCACGTGTCGCGCACCCGCTCCGGTTTCTCCGCCTCCATGATCTCCCGCAGCCCTGTGTGCAGATCCACCTCCTCGCTCTTCCAGGCCCACGGGTCGCGCCAGAACACGATCCGATGACCGAAATATAAAACCACGAACGCTGGAATCCCGATGTATGCGGTGAAGAACGTGCTGGCGGACCATTCGGATGGGAAGAAGCACGTGAAGCCGTTGATCAGCGCCAAGAACACCGAGCCCCCTAGACCGATGTACATTCCCCAGGGCTGCATGCGAGAGGAATACGGCTTTTCCACGCCCTGCACCGTGACGGCTTTGTTGAAGCGAAAGTATACAATACTGCAGCAGATCCATGAGATGAAGCCCGAGGTGTTGGTGAAGTTGATCAGCCAGTTGAAAACCGTGTAACTGCCGCTGCCGACTGCCATGTACGCGAGGAGGGAGAATAACGAGGAAATGGCGACGGCGAAGTAGGGCACGCCCCATCGATTGCACGATTTGAAGATACTCGGGGCGTTGCCGGACACTGCGAGGGAGTACAAGGACCGGGATGACATATACAGGAACGAATTGCCGGCGGACCAGGCGGACGTCAGGATGGCGGCGTTGACGATACTGTCGAGGACAGGGATCCCCGCATTCGAGATTGCGACCACAAAAGGTGAGGAGGATGCATCCGTGCCGGAGCCAGCAGTGAGCTGTTTGGCGTTGGAGGAGCAAATCACCCCGATGGCGAGAGCTCCCAGGATGTAGAAGATGACCAGTCGATAGATGTACCGACGAGCGGCCTTGGGAACATTGCGACGCGGGGATTCCATTTCACCGCCGCTGATGACCACCAACTCGGGCGCGAAAATGAACGCGATGGCCGATTTGACGATACACTGGAGCAGTCCGACGAACCGACCGGCGTCACCAGAGACGAGATACGTGTTCATGACTCCAGGGTCTTTCCAGTAGTGGAAGCCAAGCCGTTGGCGGTTCGGACCACCACCCCAGAAGAGGATGAAGGAAAGCAGAAGCAGGCCGACAAGGGTGATGATCTTGATGCCGGAGAACCAAAACTCGGTTTCGCCATACACACCGACAGGAAGGCAGTTGAGGAGCACGATTATCACCAGCATGATGGTGATCCAGACAGCCAGGTTGACATCGGGGTGCCAGTAGTCGATGACCATGGACGCCGCAACCACCTCGTAGGGGACCAATATGCCCAGCGAGTACCAGTATAAGTATCCCATCGCGAATCCCATACTGCGCGAGACGTAGCGAAAGCCGTGGTAGCTCATCGTTCCACCGTGGACAGGCATGTAGGCACCGATTTCCGCGATCCCAGTGACGAGGGCGTAGACAAGGCCGGATATGAAGATATAGCCCAGTAAGAGGGATAGAGGACCACCGATATGCAGAGCCTGGCCCGATCCGACGAAGAGACCAGTACCGATCGTGCCGCCCAGGGCCATGAGCTGGACGTGCCGGTTTTTGAGGCCGCGCTGGGTGACCTTGTATCGTTCATCAAGCAGGTCGCGCTCAATCATCTCGTGCATGGTGCCGCTTTTGAGGTCCGCAGATGCCAGAGCGGACTCTGGGTCCCTATGAGACATTGCCATTGTCGATTTCTCATTGGTAGCCATGATGTGCGAGAAACAGTGCAGGAGGAGGGAGGTGAAGAGAGAGTGAATTGGTGCACATCTCAGGTGACGGAAGAGCGACGTCGTGGGACAGGTGAATGTCGCTCAGTTATAAATGGCGGGATAAAGTTGGCCTTGTCTCACCTTGGCATGGCATCGCTTACACAGGATAATCCCCGCAACCGGTGCCGGTGAAAAGTTTCATCCAGTGGCAGTGGCAGGCACGATGGTCGGGTCCGTAAGGTGAGATAAGAAGATGCGGGGGAATTAGGTTCGGAGCAGCGATTGGTGCGCGTGACGGGCTCCGGCTTCAGGCTGCTTATCAGCCACGCTGCCATCGCGTCTACCAATGCGGCCCTCAACCGGCCACCGGAAGGAACCATGCAGGCATCCTGAAGGGCTGCGGCCTGGCGCAATTGATGGAATCGCCGTTCTGAATGGCTGCAGTGGCTTGCCGCACTTCGTTTGCCCCTAGTGCGAGTCGTGCCACCCTATCCCAGCCCGTCCTGCTATCTCTTCCTTCCGTATCGCGATATCTTGGCCTTGCCCAGGGTCTAAGTACCCCTGATCCCTTGCTTAAACTTCAAGAACGCCCTCTACCGGTCCGGCCACCGGTCCGGCTGTGGTCTTGACCGAGTAGCTGTCATCTTATCGGGCAGGTACGGGTGTGCAGGTCAGCCCATGCAGTTGCAGACTCGCTTAACCAGATGTGCATCAAACACGATAAGGAGAATGCTCATCCAATCCTTTGCGCCTTTCAAGAAAGTAATGACTGGGTCTGGCCTCTCCGTGCGGGCCGCTAATCACATGCATTGGCCACCGGATAGAAACAATGACTGAAAGAGTTGACCGCTAGACAAAAAAATGATATTCATCCAATCTGCAGACTCAAGCGAGCCTGAGCTTGAAGCAGGCACCAGTACCTCCAAGCATACCCGACACCGGCTACCACCCGGCAACTAGGAATCATTCCCCCATCCCAGGAACCGGTCCCACTGCATCACGACCACGCCACGCTGCTGCCGCTCTTTGCCCAGCCGATCAAGTAGCTCCATCTCCTGGGGTGTAAGTATCTTCCCGTCAAGCCGTCGCTCCAAAGCCGCCTGTGTCACCGCCGGAGCCAGCTCATCCGCTATGGCTGCCTCACTCCGGTGGCATGCGTACTGTGTTTCACCCCCTTGAACCCGGGAGAAGTACCACACCGAGCGGACAACATCGTATCGACGCTCCAGGAACCAGATAACCGGCCACGTGATGATCCACAACTGCAGGATGATGCAGAACCAATACACAAAGCCATTGTTGCGCAGTTGGTTCACCCAGTGGGGCGAGTATACGAACAATTCCTGGTTTGCCAGATTTGTTGTGATGCTGATGTCTCCCTTGTAGTGAAGACTGCGTAAGTGGGACGTTAACGCGGAGTGGAGAACGGAGCTATCGAATCCGACGACGCTGCGGCCAAAAGCAAACCTAGACAGATCAGCATCGTCAAGCATTTAGTAAAGAGAAGATAGGGACCTACGACTTGACAGGTGCAGGATCTTCGCAGTACCGCTCACACCAGCCCATCAAGCTGGGACCGTCCTCGTGCTCCCGCACCAACCCGGCGGTCTCGTTGTTTGGTCCATCCTCCAGTTGCACTGGTTCCGACCTGGGCCGCTGCTCATGACCCGTCCAGGTGTCTGACTTGCATCGTCCTCCACGGTATGCCTGTTGTCCGTCGTTATCGCGAACGAGGGTCACGACGTGCCACCCGTCCTGAGAGTCTGGAGCGAGCTGTAGTCCGATGTCGTCATCGTCGTAGTGCTGGGGTGGATGCTCATCGCGAATCAGATATCCAGACAGGTCCACTTTGAAGGTAAAATCCTCGACAGTCTCCTTCCGGTCCTCTTTGCGGTTGTGATCGTGTCGGGTTTCAGTGTGGGAGCCGCGCACGGTCAGGTACGGTCGGGGCGGGATCTCGACTTGGCGGGCAATGTGCGCGTGCAAAGCCGTCGCATCTTGGCTGAGGGCCGGGGAGATGTTGACAGTTTCGGATTCTTCAGAGTCAGAGCGGACACTGTGGTATGGTCTGTTGTTGGGGATGGGAGGTGCTGCGGTGTCGGTCGGAGGAGCGGGGAAGGCAGGAGCACGCGAGGCGGGATCGCTGGCGACGGCCTCTTCATACGACGGAGGGAGATCGTTCGGTCGGCCCATGTTGGCAGTCGCTGGCCAGTCAATCTGGGAGTTGTAGACTGTTCTTTCCGACATGAGGAAGTGCAGTGGATGAGGAAAACACCAGACTCACCTTGAGGAAGAGTTGTCAGTAGAAAAGGAATGAGAACACGAGGAGGTTTCGGTTTCCAGGCAGACTCGGCCTTGGCGGCCAGGCTGCCTGAGGTTTCAGAAGGCTGTGCAACACAAAAACCTGTCATCTACTACAGCTTAACTCAATTATTTTTAGGCAACACACTTCTCATTCACTACGAAATACTACCAATAGCTATCTCAAGCACTATTAATAGCCGCCACATGATCCGTCACCAAACACGTATAATCGCTCGTGCCATAGTAGATCGTGTTGCCATCATCCGGCGACTCGCCCGTGCTCAACTCATCCCCATACTGCCAGAACAGATCTGCACTGACTCCCGTCGTGTTGAGGGCCGTTTCCTGCCACGGCTTCTCCACGCTGCAGTGGTTCGACGTGACCCCGTATTCCTCCAGCAGGCACGGCTTGCCCACAGCTTCGCAGGCCGCCCCGTGCGCACTGATCCATCCGTTGCCCCAGTCATCCGAAGTACCCCCTACCATCGTCAGTAACCATCCCAACCAAGAATAAAGGAATCCACATACAGCTATCCGGGTACAAATGAAGTGTCGCGAAATCAATCGTCTCAATCCCCAAGTTCTTGGTAAAGTTCAATCCCTCACCATAGGTATAAGGATAACTTCCATCGGAGCCAGTATCGAGACCGAATCCCTCTACACGATTGTCAGCATCATCCCCACCAAACTACAAACCCAAGAGCAAGTAAGTAGAACCTACCATCACCAATACAAACCAAATGCTCCGAATCCACCGACTTGATATACTTGCTTGTACTCTCAATCCAATCATACAGGACCGAGGTATCGCACCCCTGACAACGGGGCTCATTGGCCAACTCCCACGCAAACACCGCCGACGAGTTACTATACCTCGACACGACGGTCTTGATATACGTCTGGTACGCGGCCTGCATCTCGGTGCTTGTGTAAAAGTCTGTTTCAGTCGATCCGCCATACGCGCTCACATACGCCGACATGCCGCCGTAATCCGTCCAGTAGTTGACGAAGTTGATGATGAGTTTGATGTCGTGTTGTTCGGCGGAACTGACGACGTAATCCAGACGCTGGAGACCGTCGGCCCCCGTGTTGATGGTCGATTGCCCGTTCTCGTGCAGTTGGTACCATACGGTTCCGTCGGAGGGCTTGGTGGTTACGTCGTTGAAGCCCCAGACGCGGAGGATCTTGAGGCCGGAGGACTTGAGGTCGCTCATTACCAGGTCGACGTCTGAGTCGTCGGTTAGGAACCCGATCCAGTACGTGTTTGTTCCGGCGAAGTAGCCCGTTTCGCCATCGATGGTGAATTGGAGGCCTGAGGTGCTGGAGAAGGAGCTGGTGCTGCGGGGTAGGGGGGTGGTTTTGGGGAGGGCCGTGGCGAGGTTGGCTAGCGCCAGGCTGGTCAGGCCGAGGAGGGAATTGGATAGCTTCATTGTGAAGGTTTGTTGCTGCTGATTGTCTGGGAGCTGTTTGACGAGGGGTCCGTCCGGTGGGCTTTATAACCGCCCATGGTCGGGTCAGGGTCATATTACCGGACGGACGACCCTCCGTGATGAAATGGGTGTTGGCCTGTAGGAGTCCATGGAAGAGTTCTGGCTATGGGTCGGATACCGCGTTGAGAGCGGAGGATGGCGATCATCGTGGTAGTTAATCAATCTGCCTCTGCAGGTGTTTTGTCCGTGCTCCATCCGGTATGGCGAGGCCCATGCGGTGTGTTTCAGGTGATGTGACTGGCGGGATTTCGGGTCCAGGGACTGTGTAGTGGGGTGATGTTGCATCTTATTTTAGCATATTTGATGAGGAGTGTGCCCCTGGTTGAATCTGTTGTTCTGGAGGTTTCAGCCTGTGGCAGTGGCAGATGGCGGATGCGGGTGGTCGGATGATCGGGACCGAAGGCCGATGCAGAAATGGTGCGGGGAGACGAAGCTATTCGCTTATTGGCGGGCACTTTGGATAAGTATTCGACAGCAATGGTAGAAACGATGCTCACCTCCACTTGTGAGATTTCATGAGAGAGAAGGTTATTATTTGCGCTGAAGCGATGGTTTGGTGCGGGTGTCACGTGGAGCCGTCGAAATGACCACGTGCTTGGCAGCGGGAAGATCCACGGAAAGAAGACATCTGACTGAGACATAACCAGACAAGGAGGGATAATCGATATGGTAAATTCAATTCAGGGGCGAAGTGGGCTGTTGATAAAAGTCACTTTCAATCTAGGCAACACTGTACAGTGTTTAGGCTTGGTGTCTGACAAATGTGAGTTAACACTGTTGAAGTGTTTACTGCACTACTGATATATATTTCGGGGTACATTGTATCTGAGGTGAAATTTTTGGATCTGAACACATCAATCAACCAGCATCATGATAGTACTAAGTATTTTCCATGATCTGGAGTTTCTGTGCTCATGATATTACAATATCCCGAGAAATACTACTACTTATATCTAGAGATGATATGGGACCATGTAGTAGCTGCAAGCAAAGAACAGCAATTTACCACATTAAAGGACTAGCAGGATTTCAGTATCCACACATAATAGTTATGGCTTTTATGCACTTTGCTATAGTAGTTGAAATCATAGCACAAATTAGTATTCACTAGCATGGTCCAGATGAGGGTTGGAACCCTCACATGACTCAGCTCCGTGAATCTACCCACGTAAGGTTTACAAGTGATGCGCATACTGACCAACTTAGCTCAGGATTCTGTATTTTTGCAGGATAGCTGCTCATGGCCTGGTAGAATTATTCTTAAAGAGCACTTTGAATGGTTCTTGGCAATCAGCATTTCATTGCCAAGCCAATCTCTGAGCATCCGGACGTCCTTAGTCATGATGTGACACTAAATCAAGGGTATATAGCATCTACAGAATACATGCGGTGGGATTTGGAAATATTGTGGATGGTAAGCACAGAGTTACCTCGAAATAGTCGATTCGATGGTCTTCAAAAGCCTCTGGTGGCGATAGACTGACAGACTAGAGGAGTTGGTGACCAAGTAAATAATGCCCCACACTCACCTGATAGCAGAGATACTCCATGGCAAAGGCCAATCCTTGAAGATCCTGGGAATGTCATACGATATCTGTCGATGCTTGTCAAGGATTATTGAGTGATCAGCCCGCCAGTCATCTACGATTTACCAGACCTCGGATCCTCGGACAAAAGGATAGGAATGAAGCACAACATCAATCCCATTCCTTTAGGCAGTTGGAAAGCTTTTCGCACAAACTTGTTAGTCACAAATAGACCAAGCTCACTCACCAAACGAAAACCACACTATCCGCCAAACCCGTTAGGGCTGCCCCGAGTCAAAAAATTCAACATCCAGGAACGCGCGATGGGGTTACTCCACCCCAGCATCCCACGTAACCAGCAGTCAAGAGTCAATCCCACAGTGCAATTTATGACGCCGCAACCCCCCGCGGTGGTGGATATAATCTATTCCGACATCTGGGGCTGAAAGGCTGGACACGGGTCCAAAAGAAGCTGGGATAGGATTTTCAGCGTTTCTGTTGAAGCCATCCTCATCTTGTCTTAGTCGGCCCGACGGATTCTGGCCTTTGGGCCGAAAACAACGAGGCTAGTGAGACGCCGTTAAGCATAATTGACTGGGTTAATATCGGAGCTGACTGCAGTTTTCGCTGTAGTAGCTAATTAGGCCGATGCTCGGGAGACATTCCTCCATTGTTCGGATGTAGGCTGGTCGGAAAAATGTTTCTGAGTGGGTGTGGGAGCGGCATGTGGGGATGGGAAAGTGCCGGTCGGTCGGTATGGGGTATGGACAGTACTTACGGAGTAGTAGGAGATTGATAGGATATGGATCATTGATTTGATCACGGTTCTGCTGCATGTGAGTTCAAAATCATTATGGAGTACTCCGTAGTATGATGAATGATGTGGTGGGCTGGATGAGATGACGCAGTGCAAGAGGGGAGTTGGATATGTAATTCCCCGACCTGGAGTAACCCCGCGGGCAACATGCAGGGACATCACCCCAGATACCCTGTTTTCCCATCCTCGCCCCTGTTGGATCACGACACCACATCTGGCCACGTTTTGGAGTGAGCGGATATTCCACACCATCTGCTTCGTCATCAAGCGGTTCCCTGGAATGTTCGACCACTATCTGGCCGCATCGCTACCGTTCTTCGAGCGGGAAGGGTGTGGGAGGTGTGGCGCTGTGGCTTTGACAGGTCACCTGGCGGGAAGAGCTTCCAGAAGGCGGAGCAAACATGATCCGGCCGCCGAGCTAGGAAGGTTCCACGGGGGTACACGGGGTGCCGCCGGAGATGACGGGGTCTCGCAACGTCATCCAGCAGCATTAGCCGACCACGTGTGGCGACCAACCCTACTGTGTAACCCCGGGGATGACCTCTTTGCCGGATGAACCTCGGTCGCTGATCGGGCGGTCAGCGTGGGAGATAACAATGCAGCATCTTGCATCTTACATCTGGCTTGGTTTTCGATTTGCTTACACAATAGTAAGTAGCAAAGCTTAAGATGTATACCCACGAACCAGCACGTCAGTCAGCGCGTCGTCATGCCAAGGAAGGATCATGGCGATGATGTTGCGGCCAAGGCAGCCACAAAGCTTCATCGGGACTGGTGGATGGTTCCAGAGCCCGCCAGTCGCGTCGCTCCGTGGCACTGAGCACTGTCGGCTCGGTCGGGGTTTTACGCTGAGAATATGCAGCAGCTTGCTTGGCTGATGACTTCGTCATGCCGTGTTTCGGGGCCGACTGGCTCGGCTGGCCGTGGCTGAACCAGACGTTGGGCGAGGAAAATTTTACGTAGGGGCACAGATGACGATGGAAGTGCATCGGAATGGCTTCGTCTGGATCGGAAATAGGTTCAGAAGACGATCTGAAGTTCCCCAGAATCCGGTTCTATCAGGGTGTAGATTGATCTGAACCTGACTGACGTCTAACCTCCGCATTTCCCCTCTTTTTGTCCCTGCAAGGACCAGATTATCGGGGATGTGTGCTCACCGGTCAACGGATTTGGGAAGGGCGTCCCCTCGATTTCTCCAGGACTCCAGGAAATCCCTGCACTGCTCCCACACTCCAGAACATCCAGTCCGTCCGCTTCCGAACCGCACCGGCCATTTGCTTGCCGAATGCTGGAGCCTACCCCATCAGGCTTAGTGCGTCGGGACTAGTCCGACGGGTGGGGCAGCAGCCTCGTGACTGGGGCCGGCTTCTCCACGTTGGGCAAGAATGCCTGTCGGCCTCTCGCCTCCCCTTCCTTTCTCCCCCCGGGGTTACCCTACCTTGCCCTCCAGACTCTGCTGCTGACATGCCGACTCGACTGCCACTATGTACTCGTTCCCATCGGTGCCGTCCACGGTGCCATCCACGGTACCGCCCGTGATCCGACAAACAAAGTCAATCAGTCGAGCTGTGATTTGATTCCATTCGCCGTCTCATCTAGATCCCCCGAACCACGGCTGCTTCTGACATGAGCCTCTATCCGACCCTCCTGGCCAGCGATGATGATCCGTCACAATCTCTCCGGCTAAATTGGTATCGCCAGACGCCAGTGCCGATGCTCTGGGCCAACGAGAGGCCGTTGTCCGACCCTCCTTGCCCCGAAGAGGGCCGTGGAACCCGAGTTGTGCCTCCCCCCTGGCACCCGACCCTCCCCCAAGCATTCCGGCTCTTCTGACTGGTCTATCGGTCTCGGCCGGCCGTCCATAGTCTCTGGCTTACGGATTTCTGTCGTGAGTCGTCAGGTCGGTCTGCCCCGGCGGCACACGCTGCATCTGATGTCGGCTCTCCACAGGTCGGCTCTCCCCCGTGGATCTCTTTTCCCTGCTGAAATTTTCTCCTCTTCTCATATGTTGGGGCACATAAAAGGGGACTCGTTCCCCCAGATTCTGCTTTTTCGAATCGGGCACTTTCAATCTTCCATTCCACCCCCAACCATTACTTCTATTCTCTCTACCCTCTGGTGATCGTCATTCCTCCACCTTTAGGGTCTTTCTTATCTCCATCTTTGTCTCATTTTTGTGGTCTGACACCCACGTGTCCTACCAATATGGGTGTTGAAACATCTGCTGCCCACGGGGAGAATGTCTCCCCGGCGGTCGCAACTAGAGTGAACTCGAATATCCCCAAGGTGACCTGGCGGTCCGTGGTCATGGCCATGTTCGTCTCGATGGGTGGTCTTCTGTTCGGCTATGACACCGGTCAGATTTCCGGTTTCGAGCAGGAGACCGACTACCTCCGTCGGTATGGTATGCAGAACGCTGAGGGTACCTGGTACCTGAGTGACGTCCGCTCTGGTCTGTTGACCAGTCTCCTGTCTATTGGTACTTTGATTGGTGCCCTCGTCGCTGCCCCCATTGCAAACCGGGTGGGCCGTAAGTGGTCCATCACGATCTGGAACGTCATCCTCATTGTCGGGTTGGTGGTACAGATCTCAGCTCCCTCAGGTAACTGGGTCCAGATGGTCATGGGCCGTTGGACCACCGGTCTGGGAGTTGGTGCCTGCTCTCTGCTTGTTCCCATGTACATGGGTGAGAGTGCGCCTCGTCACATCCGTGGTGCCATGATCAGTACCTACCAGCTGTTCGTCACCTTCGGTATCTTGCTTGCGTACCTGATCAACCTGGGTACCAACACCCTGACTGGCACTGCGCAATGGCGTATCACCCTCGGTCTGACCTTCCTGTTCGCCCTTGCCCTCGGTGGTGGCATGGCTTTCTTCCCCGAGTCGCCTCGTTTCGACTACCGCCATGGTCGCGTGGACCGGGCCCGTACCACCATGTCTAAGCTGTACGGTGTGCCGGAGAACCATCAAGTCATCCTTGAGGAACTGGACGAGATCCAGAACCAGCTCGAGGCCGAGACGGGCAGCGAGAAGTGGTACGAGTTCCTCACGGCTCCTCGGATGTTCCACCGTATCTGCATCGGTATGGCCCTGCAGACTCTCCAGCAGCTGACTGGTTCCAACTACTTCTTCTACTACGTAAGTATCGTCTACGGATCTTATTTTATGCAATAATAACCTGTTGTAGGGTACCACCATCTTCAAGGGTGCCGGTCTGTCCAACAGCTTCATTACTCAGGTCATTTTGGGTGCGGTCAACTTTGTCTCTACCTTTGGTGGTCTGTACACCGTTGAGAACTTTGGTCGTCGCAAGTCCCTGATTGTGGGTGCACTGTGGCTGTTCCTTTGCTTCATGATCTTTGCTTCGATCGGTCACTTCGTCCTTGATGTGGAAGACCCGGAGAAGACCCCCGCCCCGGGTAAGGGTATGATCTTCCTCGCGTGTATCTACATCGCAGGTTACGCTATGACTTGGGCTCCTATGGTCTGGACCATCACTGCGGAGCTGTACCCCTCCAAGTACCGTGCCCAGGGTATGGCTCTGGCTGTTGCCGCGAACTGGCTGTGGAACTTCCTGATCGGTTTCTTTACCCCGTTCATCACCAGCGCGATCGACTTTGCCTATGGTTATGTGTTCGCTGGCTGCATGTTTGTCGCTGCCTTTGTCGTCTACTTCTTCGTCATTGAGGGCCGGGGCCGTACACTGGAGGAGCTTGACTGGATGTACGTCAACCGAGTCAAGCCGTGGGAGAGCAGCAACTTCGAGGTGCCTCCTCTGCACTCGCACCAGTTTGAGGCGGAGCGTAAGGAGTCGGCGTTCCATGCTGAGGATGCGTGAGCATGGAGTGATGTTAATGTTGGCATATGCTGATGATGCATGAATTGTTATATACCATGTACTGTAATTTTGAACGTCACTGATACTTTCAGTAATATTCCATGACATTCCCTGTCTGTCGTCACTGTGATTATCGTCACTGTAGCCTGTCGTCACCGTAGCCTATTATTATCATCATAGCCTACCATAGTCTATTATCACCGTTGCCTATTAGCGTCGTAGCCTATTGTCACCGTAGCCTACCAGGCCGTGAAACAGCCCCATAATAGTTCATTTAGCATTCAATGTCAACTATTCACGCCGTGAAAAGCCCCCAGGCGTCCATCTATGAATTCTCAACATCCTGCCAGCAAATTCTACTCCTAAAGACCTCATCAACCCATATTCTGACATACCTTATTCTACATAATTTTTCATATACTTAGGAACCACATCAACCCGTATTCTGGCACACCCCATTCTAGATAAATTTCCATATACTAAAGCCACTCATTATCTTCAGCCATACAGATGGTAGAATATGTATGACTGACTCACCGTGGCTCTTCTTATCATAACGTTACCGAATCCTCCACCATTGGCGCCGTTGACGCCGGAAGCCATGGATTACCTGTGACTCACTAAATGAGGTCACAATGACAGCGTCAACACGCATTGGTACAATACCATAGTTGATGGGATTGAACGATCGGTATAGATCCAACAGCTGAGGTCTCAGCATGCCGTCAAAGGATGGATCCCATCGTGGAGGTTTCAGTGATGGTTGAGGCATTTTGCAAGAGGATATTGTATATCGGCAGGACCAGATGGTGATATTGTGGAATATTCCTGCATACATAGGAAATTCCCGAATGAGTCGGGCTGGAGTTTGCTCCATAAAAGGGTCCCATCGATCATCTTTCATCGGATGGGGCCAATGGCATGGGTGCCACAAATTGTCCAGGCATAATATCCATGGTCTAATTCTTTCAAACTTTGCCGAGGGGTTTATATATGATCGATGAATGCTGATCATCGACAAATCCGAACGACATGGTCTCGATGAGACATGGGGTGTGTTGTTTAATACCCTACGATTAAACGCTGGTTAGCAAAACATCACATTGATCTGGTATCAATGAGGCATTGGGCATGTTCCTTGCTTCCATCCAAGGAGATGCTGGCTAGCAAGGCATGAAGTGGTGCTTGGTTATTAATTTCGTCGTTGTCAACGAACAATTTTCCTTCGTATTACGCAGACATCGATACTGCAGGATACAGTCAGGACATGGTTCCTTTACAAAATCCGCCCACGAACCACGGTACATTAATGAGTCAAGACCTTGATGAAATATTTATGAAATGCTGATGACAGGAGCATCTGGCACGCCCTTATTAGGCCGACGGCCCTTCCTCCCTTCGAGGGCGGTTTTTCCCTCTACTATCGCTTATAGCTTGACTATAACCATAACTTGTGCTTCTTTGCCTGCATTCTGCGCAGCTAAACCATACTTTTAACCTCCTTTATTATAACCTCCTTTATTATAACCTTTCAACAATATCCTCAATATCCTCGTTCACACCCTCGTTACCTCTTTACCCTCGTTACCTCTTTACAACCCTCCTCATAACATCCTTCGAAACCTCACCAGCAAAAAGAACCATCATGGCTCAGGTCCAGGTGGTCACATACAACAAAACGGCGACGATCGCCCTCCCATCCCGCATTCCAATTCCCGTTAAGAGAACGGGAACCACCTCTACTACCATCACTCCCTTCTACAGCAAGGGAAACACCATCACAGTTACTGCTACCGATGTCGAAAGCATCAAGAGCAGAGGACACACCTCTTTCACCATTACCGATGCCATCCAGGGCAAAGAAAAAACCGCTTCCACCACTACCGATGCCATCAAAGGCAAAAGAAAAACCCCTCCCACCACCACCACCATCAACACTATCAAGGGCAAAAGAAAGCCCACAGTTACCTCTACCACCCATACCCTCAAGCAAAAGAATGCCGCCAAATACAGTGGCATAGTTCGAAGCAAGGTCAGAAAGACCACGAATACCTCTGTTACCAACAAGTGGAAGAACAAGACTTTTACCGTCGACCTTATTACGAGCGATGAGTGTATCACCATCGCACCCATCGATCTAACCACCACCACCAATACAACCGATACAACAACCACTACACCTATCGAACCAACCACCACCACCAATACTACAAAAACAACAAAACCAACCATTCAATACACCATCCCATCTCACTGGAGTATCCTCCCCCCAGTCGACCAACCCTCCCTCCTAACCTACCTCAACACCCACGTCCACCCTCTCTCCACTCTCCGTCGCCAAAACTACCCAACAGAGCCCTACTCCCGCCAAGGCAGCATCCATTACAGACACACCCCTACCCAACCACCACCAGCACCAGCACCACCACCTACCACGCCATCTCCCTCGACTGCGAAATGGCCCAAACAATCTACGGCGAAGACACTCTCGTCCAAGTCACCCTAATCGACATGCTCACGGCCACCCCCCTCCTCGATCTAACCGTCATCCCCACCCACCCCATCGCCGACTGGCGCACCCAATGGTCAGGCATGTCAGAGTCCATCATGGCGGAGCGAATCGCCTCGCCTGACCACGAGACCGTCAGGGGGTATGCAGAGGCTCGAGCCCGTGTGTGGGACTTTGTCAACGCGGATACGATTCTCGTCGGACAGAGCTTGAATTTCGATCTCAAGGTGCTGGGCATGGTGCATTGGAGGGTTGTCGACAGCTTTATATTGGTGAAGGAGGGAGGGTTCAGGGCGGGGGGAGGGAGTATGAGGTTGAAGAACCTAGTGGAGGATTTTGTGGGGGTGAGGATTCAGACAGGGGATGGGGAAACGGGACATGATTGTTTGGAGGATACGTTTGGGGCGAGGGAAGTTGTGGTGTGGTGTTGGAGGAATCAAGGGGTGGAGAAGGAGAGAGAGGGGTGTGAGAAGGGGCCCGGGCCTTGGGGGGTCAAGAGTGAGGAGGTTTGGTGGTGAGGGTTTGTTATTGGGGTGTGTGTATTTAGTTAAAGTGCCTCCGGTTGGGGGCGGTGGGTAGGTGGGTCTATTTTGTACATAATTGTGGTGGGATCTTTTGGTTGGAATGTGATTTGTGTGGAAGGTGTTGGGGATGGGTTGGTGTGTGGTACTCTGTGCATAAACATACTTGTGGGTCATAAATTGACTCTGGTTGTTTCTCATTATGTTCGTTGTAGATGGTGCGTACCATGTAGACTTCTAGCGGGGTCGGGCAGAGGGATGATCAGGATATCGATCTAAATCTCGCCTTAAGTAATCATAAGCAGACGGGATTAAGAGGGTATTATCATTGTATGAATAGATATTCGCGGAATATGCCTTTATCCCGTAGGAATCTTCCTAAAAGTCAGGTGATGTAGAAACCCCTTCAACTTTTACGCACGCTCAGTGCCCTTTCCTCCCATCGTTCATACCACTCTACACTCGTCCAGCATAGCATCACCAATCATGAAAGTTATCAAGTATCTTGTTCCTGTCATTTACGCGAATGTACATTGTACAGTCTACCTGACTGCATTGAAGCGGAGACGCGACAGTATGGCATGTGGCTTCTTGAGCAATAATGGCCATCGGTTAATTTTCTAGGTATGTTCAGGAAAATACCTTCTGATGGTGACACTTCAGTATAATTTTGAGGAATGTCAATGAATGCTCAGGGGGTTAACACTCAACATACAGGGTATTCCCCAAGTACTGCGTCTATCTCATGAATCTGTCGATATATTCCACTGCTCCATGGAAATTCTAAACTTATCCAAGGGAGGAGAGGGGTATATAAATGCCCTCAACCACCAGCATTTGAACAATGGTCTGTCTTCGCACAAAGAACTATCCCAACCGCTCTTTGTCTCACCACAAAAAACAACCCAGCCATCACAAACCCTGAACCACTATTCCAAAACTAACAAAGACTAACCCCAACGACCGACATTGACATACACACAATCGAACCCTTCAACCCCCACAGTCAACCTCCCCAATGGTCTCTCCCACCACCAAACCACCTAACCCCCAATCACCAACCCTCAATGTCCTCCTAACCCCGGACACCCTCCTCCTCCTCCACCACCTCCACCCCCACGACCTCCTCATCTCCCAACGCGTCCACCCCCTCTGGCACGCCCTAATAACCACCACCCACACCCTCCAATGCATCCTCGGCTTTCGCCTCCCCTCCCACCCCCCCAAAACCCCAACCTACAACCCCATCCTCCAACGGCTCTTCCCCCCCATCTTCCCTACAGACTCCCTAACCCCCACCTCCCCCTACTTCGTCCCCGAAGAAATCCACAAATTACGCTTCGCGCACGACACAGCCTACTACAAGAAATTCTCCCGCAGGAACGCTTCCTGGCGGAGAATGTACCCTATGGATATCCCCTGCTGGATTCATAAGCTCGTGGTGCATTGTGAGGGGGATGGGGTTCATGCAAGGGGTAGTCAAGCGCATAGAGTGATTGATGAGTGGGTGAAGGGGGGGCAGGATGTGGCTTTAGGGGCGGAGATGAGGTTGGTTTGGGATTTAGTGGTTGCGGGGTTGGGGGCGTATGCGGAACGGGGGATGGTGGTGCAGTGGGTACCGAAGAAGGAGGGAGGGTGGGGAGGAGAAGGGTATGAGTGTTCGGTTTTGATGGGTCAGAGGGG